TTTCCAATCAAGGATGAAATGGTCTATGCGTGAACTGCTTCACTCGGGTGACCTGCTAACTTCAGAGAGAAAATGAAGCTCGCTCCTCGCCATACTGAAAAACAGATGTCAAGAATAAAGATGTGTGCGTAATATAACCATTCTATCTATATTGATAAAGCATAATTGAGCCCAGTAGTCATTTTCTCTCAGTGAACGTTCACTGTTTGAAGCCCAATCTTGATTTGGTCTCTCCTTTCAAGCGCTTTTGTATACTCTTTCGCAACCCTAGAAAACGAGGCATATTTTTGCGATTTTGACTGTTAAGTAAACTTTAGTTAAACAGCCACCATAACTATTTCGCTTCCATTAAAAAACGTTCGGGTGCCCTAAATGGGGAATAATCTTCTAACAGTCATAGCATGAAAAAGTAAACATACCTAACGAACCACAACTCCTTCAACTTGGTCTAACAGTAGCTTAGCGGCACGAGTTATCTCTTCCAAAGGCATGTAAATTATGTATTGGAAATGCAACGACCGATGAGCTTAGCCTTAAGGGGCTTTGTTTTCTCGGTGCTGGCTCCCATTTTTTCTTGAGAAGTCGTACAAACGCCCAAACTTTCTCAACGATTGCTAGGGCCCATTTGACTGTGGCGCAAAATACATTCGGCGAAATAGGGGGAAGCAGAAGACACGAAAATGACTGTGAGCAATGTAGGCAGAATCTCGCCCGAAAAGAAGCCCTTTCAGAGTTTCTCAACGATGACAACCACGCTGAATAAAATTTGTTGTCTTCGAAACGCTAGTCTGGGATAGGCCGTTCTAAGAAGTGGAAATTTGTGTCAGGCCCTCTTACCCTCTCGATAAAGACCTACCGAAGAAGTTGTGTAAATTGGGCGCAGTGGATGGTGCATAAATACATTTTCTTCGTTCCCACGTATTAGCGACTTTCTAAATTCCGTCCTTACTTCATTCCAGGTTTCATTGTCCTTCGAAAGAAAACGTCGTAAGGAACTCTAAAGTAAAAAAAAAGAATCATCGCGTGCACGTCTACCCGAACGTAATAAAATTTTCGCTTTACCTGAAACGTGTTCAGGAAAAAATGAAAAAGAAGACAGAAAGTTCAGCTAAAATAAAAATTTGATCAATACCTTGCCGAGACTCCTTTGGATAAGAGGCTAAATCGTGATAAAAGGGTGGAGGTAGTGGAACGGATATCACGAAAATGGGTGTTATTCAATTTTGCGGCAGAAAGGGTGGGCTGAAAACTAATAGTGCAAGTAAAAAAAATTTTGTAAAACTATGAACTGTAATAAACAGCGGTACAAAATATGGGCAGTGGCATAATCATAAAAACGTAAAGCTATGCGTCTTCGTCGTCACTGCTTAAACGCCACCCCATTTCATACCTTTCATGTGGCTCAGAATATCACACTATGCCGGCTTCGACTACGCACAATATAAACAAATTCGCGTGGTGTTTTTTTTTTCTTTTCTGTTTTTTTTTTAAACGGAGTCGTCGTGACTGCAAACATAACAGTGCGAGAATGGTCCTTTTTTCTTCTATTTATCTCATCAAAGAGCAGAGTTTTCAAGCTCATGTAAATTTGCACTGTCTGGAAAACTTACATGTTCGTAGGTTTCCATAGAAAGCAAAATAAAAAACACAGATCACACGGACAGTGGGAATCGATTATATACGATGCACGAATCAAGAAGGTTTATATGTCACATTAAAATCAGCAAACGTCACGAGGCGCATGGACATAGTACACAGTAAGCGCAATTAGAAATGTTGTGCGAAACTAAGCTAGCAAAGCTAGCGAAACGGCCGCGACTACACTATGAGTGTAGCATGTAGTCATGATTTACATGACACGCATGTCATGATTATCATGTTTGGACGTGCAATTTACTTTCCTCGTCTGATAATGTCACGTAAAATAAATTTGGTATATGTAAAGCTTGCGAAACGGCCGCGAGCGCGCTATTAGCGTAGCATATGGTCATGTTTTACATGACATGACACATGATATCATTATTATTATGTTTGAACGTGTCATTTACCTTTGTCGTCCGTTCACGTCACGTAATATCAAATTTGGTATATGTCAAGCTTGCTAACAGGCCATGAGCGCATCATGAGCGTGGTATGTAATCATGTTCCTACATGATTACATACCACGCATGTCATGATTATCAAACTTGCACCACTTTACCTAAGCCATAGGAGGTCGAAATTTTCGGAGCACTTCACTACGACATCTCTCTAAATCATATGGTGATTTCGGGACGTTAGACCCCATATATCAATCAATCAATATATACCTTCGTCATGCATTCGCGTCTCGTAATGCCGAATTTGGTATATGTGAAGCTAACGAAACGGCCGCGAGCATACTATGAGTGTGGTATGTAGTCATGTTCCTACATGACACGCATGTAATGATTATCACGCTTGCACTTTACCTTTGCCATAGGTAGTCGAAATTTTCCGAGCACTCCACTACGACATCTCTCTAAATCATATGGTGATTTCGGGACGTTAAACCCCACATATCAATCAATCAGTATATACTTTCGTCATCAATTCGCGTCTCGTAATGCCAAATTTGGTATATCTGAAGCTAGCGAAACGGCCGAAGGCCCACTATGAGCATGGTATGTAGTCATGTTCCTACATGACACGCATGTCATGATTATCACGCTTGCACCACTTCACCTTTGCCATAGGTGGTCGAAATTTTCGGAGCACTCCACTATGACATCTCTCTAAATCATATGGTGATTTCGGGACGTTAAACACCACATATAAATCAATCAATATATACCTTCGTCATTAATTCGCGTCTCGTAATGCCAAATTTGGTATATGTGAAGCTAGCGAAACGATCGCGAGCGCACCATGAGCGTCGCATATATTCATGACTTACGTGACATTCATGATTTCCCCGTTAGGGCCTGGCACTTATATTCGCCATACAGTCATGTCATACCGTACCAGTTTTGCAATATGTCATGTGGACGAAACCACCGCAAGAGCAGAAAGACAAAGACATGCAAATCATGACGTTCATGACATACATGTCATTATTTTCAAGTTATAATTAGTCATTTATGTTCACCATGCTGTCATATTAAGCCGTACCAATTTTGGTATAGATTTAATTATCGAAATGGCTAGGAGAGCTAAAAGTAAGCGGCTTGAGATAGATAGATAGATAGATAGATAGATAGATAGATAGATAGATAGATAGATAGATAGATAGATAGATAGATAGATAGATAGATAGATAGATAGATAGATAGATAGATAGATTGATAGATAGATAGATCAGATAGATAGATAGATAGATAGATAGATAGATAGATAGATAGATAGATAGATAGATAGATAGATAGATAGATAGATAGATAGATAGATAGATAGATAGATAGATAGATAGATAGATAGATAGATAGATAGATAGATAGATAGATAGATAGATAGATAGATAGATAGATAGATAGATAGATAGATAGATAGATAGATAGATAGATAGATAGATAGATAGATAGATAGATAGATAGATAGATAGATAGATAGATAGATAGATAGATAGATAGATAGATAGATAGATAGATAGATAGATAGATAGATAGATAGATAGATAGATAGATAGATAGATAGATAGATAGATAGATAGATAGATAGATAGATAGATAGATAGACATGGCCGAAGTCACCGAAGTTCGTTAAAAAAAATGTCACAGCAAGTTGATGCACTGCGAGAAAATATCCTGTTACAAAGAAAACGTCCGGGCCAATACATCAAAGCGGTAAGAGTGAGGTCAGCGCTCGTATTGCGCCCCATGTTTTAGTCCGTTCTTTGTTCTACCACTTCCAAACATGTGACATCAAACGAGAATATACATAACGTATGTTAGGTGAATGTAATACCTATTGTGTGAATACACAGTCGAAATTCCTTCCAAAATGAAATGCAACTTGACCGATAAAAGCTTGCTTCAACGCATAATTTTTTTGCATTAAGCAGAACCTGTTCACACAGAAATTTTCGCTCGTAACATCTGAAATTCTAACAGCAAAAAAGAAAGAGCTTCCAATGTGACACTTCCGTGTAAACTTTACCGAAGTGCGCTATGTCCTTAAAAACTAAACGTTCATGGCACAAATTCGCTTCGTACTGGCAGAGACCCGTCGAAACTGAACGACTGAATGGCGAAGACACGTCTTTGTGCTGTTTGGTTCGTCCAGCAAACTCGTTCCGGCGCTTCGATATTGCTCGGCTTTCATGCCGGCAGACAATGGCTTTCACTTCATTCTTGAATACGCGGGCGCTACCGTGTGACGTATTTTCTTACCTCACACATTTCTAGTTGCCACGTTTCGGCTATCTCTCAGCATACGTTTCTCTGCAATCAAGCTACGCGTCGTGATAATAATTTTTTTACGAGTTTACGGAAGTTTATCCCCTTGAACATACTTAACCAGTGAATTCAAATAGAACTCCTTTCTCAGTGGTCCTTCTAAAAGGTGTGAAAAACTGCGACTTTGATAACAAGTGACCGAAGGAAAAAGAGCCTTCTGGAAACTATTCGCCCGTAATTCGGCTCCATCCCTCAAACGGGTACTGACCCTTTCTCTAGAAAACGACATTTGTGCACGAGTAGGTGCAAAATGATTGCTGGCACGATCTAAAATCATTGGCACAAATTCATACAGCCGACAGGTGAGTGTGTAAAGCACTTGTTTGACTTTTTTTGCTTTTCATCGTTGTTATACAACGAGCTCATCCTCTAGAAATCACCTAGCATTGAAGTTGACGTCACGGGAACGCTCTGGTATACAGTGATATCCAGCCAGAGCATTACCGTAAAGCTTTTCATATACCGCCTCGGAAAGAATACCCTATGGTCGCTTTATTACGTACAATTGCTTGAACTATTTTCCATTGTATTACAATAACACTTAATTTTTTTTCGTTGCCCTTTCGAAGTATAGCGGAGGTCGCTGACCTGTACGAAGGGGCAGAAGGCGCACATGAAGCGCGGCAGGAGCCACCGCTGGAGCAGCGCAGCCTGGAAGTGAAACGGAATGGAGAACAGGCCGATGATGATGTCGCTGATGGCCAGGTTGGCGATCAGGTAGTTGGTCTCGGTGCGCATGCGGCGTGATGTGGCCACGATCCAGAGCACGAACGTGTTGCCCACTACGGCCACGAGCGAGATGGCGCCGTAACAGATGGACAGCAACACTATCACCTCTACCGGCACCTCGTAGAGCCTGTCCTCGGCAATCGAGGAAGGCTCAGAGGTCTCGCTGTCAGCCGAGTTCATCGACGGTGAGCCCCAGCTCACGTTGAGTGTCAGTGTTTCTTCCTGCCCGGAGGAGTAAGATTCAAAGTCCGCCTGGCGACTCAGCAACAGCGAAGATGCCATGGTATATGTATTTTTTTTCTTCAGTTTTCTATTTGTTGTAGTTTTGATTTCCCGTGAAGCATGCGAACACGAAAAAGAACACAAAAGAAAGTTTATGCCGCCGACTTCATCCTATTTTCCTGTCTACTGCAAAAGTTCAGCACAATAGAGAAAGTCACTGTTCTTCGCACTTCACAGTTCTAGGCGACGTTGCAGAAGACGCACGTGCTCTAAGGTAGTTGATTAAACAGCAACTCAGGGAGCCTTGTAGCTTATGGCTCGCGCCTATCGTCCAGTTTCCCTTGTTTCGTCAGGAATGCAAGGGTGCACCGAGTTCCGTGTTGACGTCGTCGTCGTCGCTTCGTTTGGCTTTCGTCTTCTTTTGTTTAAGTGTACTCCACGCGTCGCTTCATCCCATCTGAAGAGGGGAGAGCTAATTCGCTGCGCCTTTTGAAACTAAAGTGGGGAACAGAAAATGTCCCAGGAGCCGTACCTGTTGAGCCGGAAGCTTGCCGCACGACTTCCGGGCTAGGTGGGGAAAAAAGTGAGCAAACGGGACTCGGGTGGTCACCGCGAATAGCTTGGCTGGGACGTCACGCCGCACGATTGACTGCCGGTTACTCGAGGCAAGCGCTCCTTTCGTCGTCCCGTCTGGAGGAAGAAGTTCGGGATGATTTGAAAGAGAGGGGATGAGAGAACTCGGCGTCTCCGACGCACGCTTTTCGGCCGCCGAGCGCCTTCTGCGACCCGACTCTTGGGAAGTTCGATGCTGGCGGCCCCGGACCCGAACCACGTGACGCACGCCCCGACCGCGCGCGCGCGCGTGGCGCGCGCTCGCACGCGTTGGTGGTGGCGCTTCGCTACGGGCCCGGGCCTAAAGCGCAGCTCGCCCTTTTTCGGCGCTCCTCTCACATCACCAGTGTGTTGCGTTGTCGGTATCATACGCGCCACGCAGGCGCTGGAGCAGTCAAAGATGCCGGTCATCGGGCTACAGCCACGCACGACACGCTCCACACGCGCATCCATTGTGACCCCGTCGCGCTTTCATAGCTCCGTAAGACCTATGAGGGAGATACGTAGCAAGCGCCTTGGGTATACCATTGTTTATACCACGCTTTGGCTGCGTCGCGTGCGTCCGCCGCAACGTGACCTCGCCCGCTTCTTGGGAAGGCTGAAAGCTCGTCAGGGTTTCATGCGTACCACCGACACGAGACTTCTGTTCAACGTTGCACCAGGGAGGGTGACATGTGCGTGTGGAAAATCTTGTGTTTTATGCGTAAGCACGCTCTATACGACTATATAGCTTTTATCAGCTATCTAGCTGTATAGATGCTCACACTTTGTTGCTGTTGGTCGACTCACACGCAAAATACTCTGATAAATTTTGCATAACAGGCTCTTAGCGTGAAAATGTGTGCTCCTATTTAACTCATGTTAGCAAGGGCCGAACATAATACGCTATTATCTTTCACTTCCATGCCTCGCGCAACGTTACTCGAGAAGAGATGCAGTTCTGTGGCCAGTGCCAAGTTCATTGCAAGAGCTCGAAGGGGTATACTTGCTCAAATGCAAAAGGTTGTGTCTTTCTTCCTGGCGTCTTCATTTCTAGTACCTATGCTGTCAGATCACGTCCTCGGGAGACCAAAGATGTAACGAGGCATCGTTCCACGCTTGAAACAATATCACACTTCACGACGTCACTGTTCCGTAGCACGCTTCGGTTAACAGAAAACACCTCATTATGCAGTGCAATGTGCATGGTGGCAACTCAGCCATGCATGATTGAATCGATTCGATGCCTTTGTAAAAGGTCCCCGCGCACGTGCGACAACACAGATGCCAAAATATGAGCATGTTGTGCCCGCATACAACAAAAGCTACAAATACGTTTCGCAATCAATATAATTCTCGCCACTTCGACAACCCAGATCTGAAATGGTCGTACCACACGCTGGTCGCGCCCACCTCCGAAAGATTAAAATTACCGGCCGTAAACTTTATAATACCATCAGGCTCTACAAACTGTAGGTAGGATCCCTCTCAGTTCCTTGTCGGGAAACGAACGCGTGAAATTTGTAATCTAAATGTAAAACTCAAAAGAACTGCTATAGTTTGCTGCGCTAAAACAAGAAGAGCTGCGCGTGCACCCACAACATACTAAATAAAATGCTTTCGATTTCCATACCCCGATAACTTTATGAAGCCTATACACGCATTCATCACTTTCTTTCTCTTTCCTACCTATTTCTGATATCATCTTGTAACACTTCTTGAAGATGCCTCAAATATATGCTTTCTTTCAAGGTACACCAAGCTTTTATATAATGAGAAAATAAGGAGTGTTCTTGGCTCTTCACTAGCCTTGCAATGTATGCTTTTTTTTAATTCAAAAACACCCTCGAAGCCACTTATGGACCAAAAGAAGGTAAAACCTTTGCGGGAGAGAGAGAAATACCTTCATTTAAGAAACAACTTTATTTTCTGTGCGGGAAAGCATGTGAAGGGGGGGGGGGGGGGGATCCCAGTAATAAAATGCTACAGCTTTCAATGAGCTAGGCTTCAGATCACAAAAGAAAGAAAGAAAGAAAGAAAGAAAGAAAGAAAGAAAGAAAGAAAGAAAGAAAGAAAGAAAGAAAGAAAGAAAGAAAGAAAGCGCTTAAAAGAAGTTGTGCCTCTTGTATATTTGTGGTCGTTGTGTGCATTTACAACCTGTTCATATTTCATTCCTAGGTACAAATAAATAATTAACCTCAATTCGCCAACAATTTATTAAGTACTTAAATCTGTAAAATATTAACTTTAGTCGTTGGCCGCCTCATACAACCTTTGAGTCAACTATTTCTTTTGACAACAAATCTGCCTGCTTTTTTCTTGGGAGGGGGGGGGGGAAGAGATAGAGAAAAAATGACCACGCAGGTTGTAACATATAGGTTGTAAGTACACATGACTACCATAAGTATTGGCCGCGAGGCTGACCACTAGACGCACGAGCACTGCAATCACTGTGACGTGAAGGTTTGGATCACGTGATCTCGCCTCGCTCTGGCGAAGCAAAGCTGGTGGTTGTATGCTTTGTTATTAACGCCGACTTCGTGGTGTTTTCGTTTTTGAACAGCCTTGTATTGCACTGACTTCATTTGTGCGGATTTCTGCTGACTGCACAATGCGGAAAGTTGCAGTAAACGTTGTCGGCAGCGTGCCACAGTGCACTACGTACGCGATGCCACTGTCGTGGCCGCTGGCAATGCTACTGTCACTTCTCTCTTTCTTTGTTTTTGTGGTTGTTAAAAAAACGTTTTTGAGCCCATGGGGTTAAAATGAGCACCGACCATAAATGTTCACATAAAAGCAGAACGTTTCAGTTTCCACACGGGAGCTTCGTTCATAATTAAGAGTGAATGTACAAATAGTCTGATTGTGTATATTTTAAAATAGGACTCCGGATTGTCAGAGAGTCAAAATATAGCCAGGAAGTCCAGTTCCTTTCCCTTTATATTTGTTATTTTTACAATATTCTGCTCTATTTTACGACCAGCTGCTTCTGCGTGCTCAACCAGCCCGTTCTACGGAACCTTCTTTCTTAGATCATACATATGCGCTCCGGTCTATGCTAAAGCTTACTTTTCTCGCCAAGGTAACCTTTACTGCAGTTTGTGCCACCGCCATCCTCCTCCCCCGGCGTCTGTCCCCATGTGTTTACCCGATAACACGGGTTTCCCTCTGCTAGTGGCTTAGCCAGGGGGTGGCACACCAAGCCTGTGCCTCCCCCCCCCCTCTCCAAAAATTTCCCATGCTATATATATAGCACACAAAGTAAACGTTACCCACTCCTGTCTGCCCGGCCCCCTGTTCTAATCAAGGTGGTGGCCCCTTCGAAAAAAAATCTGCCAATGCACCTGCTGTCCGTGACTTCAGCTCACAGGGTTCCTTGCTTACAAATTACGTCTGTAGAATGGGCCCATTGCCACTGTCACTTCCTCTTAGTGTTGTTTTTACCTACAGGCGAAAACGTGGTGAGCTTCAGAAACTAATTCGTTTTCGAATAGCTGCCGAGAAATATCACACAGCTTGAATGAAACTGCAAAAAGAAAGAAGAAACTGGACACAGACACTTTTACAGAAACATGAAATTGCCGTTTAGATCACAGTACGCAAGACCTCGCAGCAAGCTCAATGGCGCAAAACGATGCGGCTGGCTGATCGCATTTTTTATATCACGATTCACCCTTTTGTACAAGCTCTTGCAGTAAACCAATTATTCATAATTTTCACACTTGTGTGGCTCGATGGCGATCAAATGCGCAACGTGTAACCACCGTAAAAATTTCGTGCAATAAATATTAGGAGCATACCACAGAGAAAAGTAACAACTCTGAATAAGGTGCGCGCTTGCGTGATTCTCCCGTTTGACCGCAATCATACCAGAAAGGTTGCGGCTGCATGCGGCTGTAAGAATGCTGTGTTGCTTCCCAGAAAGCGGGGAACGTGCTTGCACTGTACTTCGTAAGGTGATGTGTGCTAAAGTAAGTGTAGTTTCCACGTGCTTGACATGTGAACCACGGCCTGTTTTTAGATGCAAACCTACAATGAATAAAGTAGCGTGGTGGCACGAATTTCTTGCGGATGCAGGAAAGATAAGTTTCTTGATTGTTAATACCTATTTGATTATTCAATTCTGCATTGAATCTGTCATCACCTCTTACAGAGGCGGCGTGCTCAGCCATGTTTTAATTGTTACGTCAAAAAGTGGGTGGCCCATATAGGTGTCCATAGCAGACGACGCCGGCAGTCAGACATCGTGAGATGCATAACACTTTTCCAGGGCACTTATTTAGCACTTTGTAGAGTCAGAGAAGAAGCTGCAGCAGTATTTTACTGATTTCTTTGAGTGAAATGCAAGAATGGTAATAATAAAAGGAGACGCGAAAGTGGCTGCGGGCTGTGCGCGAGAGGGCGGCGGAGCATGCAAACACGTACGTCACAGGGATGCCTCCGCATGGTGGCGCCATGGTATGTCCTCG